ATAGAAATCATTTCTTAGGAAAATAAGAAAAAGAGGGATGCCATACATAGTTCTCAAATCTGATGTGATCACATGAAGTTCTGTGTTCAAATATTATCAATTTTTTTTCCTATAGAAGGATATTTTCCCCCTCTTTATTTCTGGACATTTGTTCAAAATCTGAGTGTTCATATTTGGCAACAACAAAGGGATAGCTTCCTTGCTTTCTCCTCCATACTTCCCACTGGAGATGCACCGGAGTGGCTAAGAGGGAAGGTAAAAACAGACCCAAAATGCTTATAAGGGGCAGCTGCCTCAAACTTAACTGCTAAGTTTAATTCCACCCGTGCTTATATTATTCTTGTAAATCTGATACAAATGAAACAGTTGTCGAAATATCTTCTATTTGCCATTTGATACCAGTGTATTCTTAGAACAATTTTTTTAAACTGCCTGTCTGAAAAAAAAAAAAATACATGAGCCAATTTCTTACACTTCTGAGCCCTGTTTAAAGCCTGTAAAGAACTCTAGGCCTTCTGTGGGATATAAAACAGTGTGACAAGTGGACCAAAGAAAATAATAATACCAGTAATGACAAAGGTGGGGAAGATGAGTATGAAAAATTAATTTGGTTGAGTTATCCAGGCAGAACCAAATGATGTGGCCTATGCAACCTACCAAGCTGACACGTGGTACTTTGCCTTATCTCATCTGAGTGTCTGCATTAATACAATGGACTTCATAAACCTTCGTTTTATAATTTATTTTAAATGGATGGATAGAATTAGATTGCTTTCAGATTCGAGATTTGGAAGCTGAAATCAAGTTGCTATTTATTTTCCTTACTTTCTGAATATTTTGTCCCCTATCCAGATTACAATGCTGTTTCTACTGTGAATACACAGAGCACTAATTAAAATGTGTATTTTGCCTTCAACACCCAATTTAGAGTATGAGCAGAAGACTGATTATACTTATTTCTTTACTTTCTTTTCACATTAATCTGTAAGTCTCACATTTTTTCTTCAAAACAGTTCTCAGCTTTGTCACCTCTTTTCCATCCTCACAGTCACCACTTAGAACTGTCCTCTGTTATTTTATACCTGCACTATCATCAGTCTCCTAGCCTTCTCCTTCATTTAATATATGTAAGATGAATTAATCTTCCCCAAGTCCCACTTGAAAGTTATTTATTGGCTTCCCAGTAATTATCAAATATTTTTTTTACCTTGATATTAACATCACTCCACAATCTTTATTTCCAATTTTAACTTCCCTGGTCACCTATGCCACTTCAATTAATATAATGATCATATGCTAACATAATTGCCAGATAATTGAGATGCCATTTCCTTTGAAATTCCTTGTCTAAGATCTCCTCTTCTGAAATACTCTCCCCTTTCAAAGGCTTTAGTTCAAATAGCACTTCTTTCATGGAGCCTAACTTAGCTGCTGCCCGCCCACCCCCCACCCGCGCACCCCCCCACCCCATTTAGCCTCCTACATAAAGAGGAATGTTTTCCCCTCTGAATTCAAGAATCAGAATTCTATTCCAGTACTGAACTGAACTGTACAAATAATTCAGTGTTGTGTTCTCATTTGGCATATGAGAAAAATGAAGTTAAAACAAGTTAACTTCAGAAAGTAGCCTAGAAGTAGCATCTAGTGCTCTTTCCAGTCTATGTGGAAGAATTGCTCCCACTTATCTGGTACCCATATTACTCTGTACTAGAGTTAAGTGTAATCCTGTAATCCTGACAGATTGTAAGATTTTCTAAAAATTTAACATGCAAACATGTATTCGTGAACTTTGCAGGTCCTTGAGTATCTTGAATATAGGAATATACCAGAGAACTGTGAATATAGGGAAAATATAATGGTTGACAAAACGAATGGATTAATGAAGTAAAGATTAGCTTTGTATTTTTTAATCAAAACATACTTTTAAAATGTATTTCTGAATATGGGATGAGAATAATTAAGGAACTGAGCACAAGGAAAAGTCTGTGCTTAGGTAATATGTTTGAGAGCATTACTTTGAAACTGGGGATTCATTTAGAGTTAAAAGGAACTCTGGAATTTATAATACAAGCATGTAGTCTGCAGCAGTGCAGTTCAAGATATGATTCACAAAGTTGGCATATATTTGGCTCAGAGAAAAGTTTTACTTATTTTTTTGTGAACATGAAAGAATTTTATCTTAGAAAATATTTGGCATAGTATTGGGGAATGTACTATACAAAGCTATAGTCATATTTAAGATGTATTAAATTAGACAGTGAAAGATCATAGAAAAGACTGTCTTCCAAAGAGTTCCAAGCCGTTCCTTGGTACAGCAGAGAAGGAGGTGTATTAACTTTTTTCGGTCACAATAAAACTCCAGTAGTTGGCTCCCATGGGAGGAAGAAAGTAGGCAAAATTAGTCTGAAGAAATTGGAAAGAGCAAATTGAAGTTTCAGGCTATGTGAAAGAAGACGTCTGAGAAAGGAACTATCATAATGAATTAATACTGTACTAGAGGTTGTTTCTTCTCAGAAGCTTTTATCAAAACATACATCATCAAATAAAATTTCTCTACTCTAGCACAACCAATTATATTTCTGGTTCATTACCTGCATTTTAAAAATTAAGTCTACGTTAAATGAAGGATTGATAGTTAAATATGCAAATTAACATTAGACATTTTCATACATGCAGAAGTGTCTTTTTATCCGAATTGTTTTTGAACTTGAAATCAACACTATCCATGAATTCTCGTGCTTCTCGAATAGAAATAAAGACAATATATGGGAATAAAAATAAAAAGTAGGCAAAGTAGGAATTATTAATTTTTTAGTATGAAGAAGAAGATAATCTTTTTTAAAAAATCTAAACAAAAAACTGTGTTGTGGATTTAAATTAAAACAATTATTTTTGTAAGCTATGATATATCAATGATCCAAACAAAAATTCTGACTTTTTCTCTCTCACAAAAATAAAAACTCTTCTTCTTGTATATTACACTTTAAGAATAAATAAAATGTAGAGTTATGTTTATGTATGTTTTCACTGTGATATCTTTTAGAATCCTAGAAAGTTAGTTGGGAGTTACTTATTCTAAGAAGTGAGTTTATGGATTAAATTTTATCTTAAATACTCATTATATTTTTGTTTTATTTATGGATGTGCATTCTGCATAATTCAAATAAGTGGATTCTTATATACTAATTTTTTGTTTACAACACAAATCACATGTGCTTATTCAACTATTTCTTAATATATTTTTGCCTTGTTATATTTTGAAAATAACCTCATATAAACTTACACAATAAAAAATGAAAATGGTCACAATCAATACCAGTCTTATGAAACCTGAAATATTGCACCCTAGTATCTGCTCATACATATCAACAATCTAGCTGGTAATTTTCAGGACCCAGACCAATGTACCAAATGGCAGGGGGTGTATGCCTCAAACAGTATCATGAGCTTTACAAGTTACATTTTTTTTTTTTCACATAATCATTCTACACCAGGATCCCCCGCCCTCACCAATCAAGTAATCTCCCCATAAATGGATAACTCCATATACACATAACTAAATCATATTCATTGAAACTTAATAAAGATATCAAGCATTGGGGTTAAAATCCACAGAGGGTAAATTCATAAAGGTATTTTTTCAAATGAAATTTAAGACAACTGAAAAAAGGGGATTAGGATGTAAATACTGCATTTCCCTACTGTGGTGCAATAGTACCCTTCCCAATCCCTCCCTCACCCCACTACACATAAGTCACAGTGCAAGGATTAAAGGTAGCAAAAGGGGTAATACAGTACCCATAATAAAGGGCTCAGGGGAGGAACCAGCGCTCCACCCCATCCAAGTTGGAGCAAGATTATCCTATACAAAATAAAAATATATAGTTTGTTATTAGTTAGAAATCTGATATGACAGAACATTTGGTGTTAATTTTTGTTTATGATGCTCTCCATCTGTTTCCCTATCAAGACTTGAGCTCTTTTGAAAAAGAAGATATTTAAGATTTCCTAGGTTAGGAAATTAAAAATACAAATTTAAACACAAATTTTATTTTACCCTAGATATTAAAGACATCAATTCACTCAGTTTAATTTTACAAGTTGAAAAATTTGGACTGGAAATTTGAAATACAATAAATGTTTAAAAGCTGTCAGCCAGAAATGTGCATAAAACATGCAAAACACAAAGTGCAACGTGATGATAATTTATTTGTTATTTTCTAACTTCTTATCAAGCATTGTACAACATGCTTTATTCAGTGATGTTGCATAAAAGCACATGCTTCGAAAAGGTAACGGAATAACAAAAATAAAACGAGGGCCTGAGTTACGCTTTGACACAGCTATTGCGATTTTATGCTGCTAGGGCAAAGAATTAAATGAGAGTTTCTGAGTATATTCAAATCTCACTTCCCAATCATAATCAGCATTCTTATATCCAATCTCACCATCATTCGTGATTATATTTTTACAAAGGAAAAAAATCCAAACACTAGAAATATAAAAAATAGAATCAATAATAAGGTTATTTTGACTCTACAATGCCAAACAGGTGTTGAAGAGATCAGCTATTTTAGTGCTGTGTACGCTGTCATTATGAGGAATAGAGCCATATTCATAAATATGATCATTTAAATTATTAGTTTTATCACTATCAGCATTTATAAGGAATTTATGTCTAAAACTCTAGGTTTCAAAAACTAACCCTTTTAATATGAAAACCATTATTGATTAATAAATATAGTTATAGTTATTTCTGTGAAAATTAAAACTATATCCACATGAGCAACTTTTTTAGGGAAATGAAGTGTAACGTATGAAAATATCTGACCACTTGACTAACGGATTTAATAAACTTTCAAATGGTCAAATGTAAAAGGTTTATGCTATTTTCAAATGTTTAGCATTGTTCAGATTTCACAAGCCGTATAAAATATATTATTTTGATTCAGGCAACATGTTTTCAAGTAGAATATACAGAAATGATTTTTTTTTCTCCAGAACTGAAACTGCCAGTCTGAAACAAAACAAAGTGACAATTAATTGGAAAACATACTTGATTTTTACATACCCCAGAGAGAATCCCTGATAACATTTTGGTGAAAATGTGAGGCTCAATTGTACTAAGCTGCTTATAATGAGGAAAAAGTTTTCATATATGTTAGGGAAATCTTACGTTCCTCCAAAGTGACATTTATAAGACTTGAGAAGAGAATATAAGGCTGTAAACAATCAACAAAGTGCAAATGGAAGTCTGCAATACAGCTCAGTTTCCGTAAACGTAACTAAACCTTAGGAAGCAAAAGAGCAATGTTTTTCCATTGGAATCACAAAATTCACTGCTTTGTTTTGATAACACATTTTTTGCCCTTTTTAAAAAGCAGAACTAATTTTTTATATTTTACATCTATATATTAATGCTTCATGCTTTAAAAAAAGCATGGAAAATAACAAGTTATTAATGGCACATTTTCTAATCTGTTATGAATGATGGAAACTGATTATTGTTTCTTTAAAAGGGGTGCAATAAAATTTTGTGTGACTGACAAGAAGTAAATTAAGGTTAATTTGTGAATTAGCTATGGTAATGAGTCAAAATTATATTTTCTGTTCATTACAAGTGTTTTACTTTACCGTCATACAAATGGTGTGGATTTGTATGTAATCTTTAAGTTAGTATTACTAGTTTTATAAATTAAGATGAATGTAATTATGAATTAAGACTGTATTAAAACAAAAAGTTTAAAATTCAGTCAGTACTTAATATATAGCCTTCTAACATTGAATATATTCAACTAATGCAAACTTTGGCATTATACAGACAAAAATTTTGACAACTCCTTTCAGTTCTTTTTACACCCATACTTAGGCACATGTGTGATTCACATTATTTTCAGGAAAGCTTGTTAAGTACAGTATATCATCACAAAGAATAAGTACCTGATATAGAATTTACTTTAGGTTATTATTATATCATTACACATAGTACCTTAATAATGCATCTGCCTTTTTTGTACATAGATTTGTAAGGAAACTCCCAAGATGGATTAGGAAATAAAGTCATTTAAATAAGCACAGCAGATAAATGATATTATATCATTTCAAGAGAGGCCTAGTTCTCTTGCATATCACCTAGAAGTAAATATGCAACAGATAAAACGATAAAGTAGCAGTTTTGCAAGAATTTGCCATTCCTTTTGCATGCATAGGTTTTCGGTTTTCTAAATTTAATTTAGCTTAATTTTGGCTATATGCAATACTTCAGGTTCTTTCATTTTTCTTACCCTCATCCCTTCAAATCTAGATAAGGCTCTTAGAGGTCTCAGAGCTCTTAGTGTTCTGAGAGATTTGATGGCTCCAAGTTCTGAGTAACCCAAGGCATTTGCTGTTAAACTGACCAATGAAACCTGCACACACAAAAATAATGACAATTAATAAATCGAATCATCATTCAATGAGTAGTTGCTATATAATACCAAAGTATAATTTTTGCTTATAATTATTCAGAAGATAAATCTTCAGATATTTTTAGTAAACCTTTAAAAAAATTAAAGAAATATTTTCAGTTTGATGCAAAGGATATAATTATTAGGACATTAATCAAAAGCTAGTTGAAAAAATTCCTTAAATATCATATACTTTATCAATTGAATAATTAGAGAAACAAAGTAAAAATTAGTAAAATAAAAGAAGAAATCAAGGTGGAAAAAATCATTGGTAATTCTTCCTTTATTAGTTTGCTGTTGAATAAGGCTTTTCTTATAGCTACTTATAAAATACAAAAACTGCTATTGTACTAAAAAAAGCAAGACGTTTCTACCATGCATCAGTATATTCAACAAATCATAATGGGTATTCTCAGAAATTAATTAACGACATCAGTTTTAAAGGTGATTTTTTGTCTTGCTAATACTTTGCGTTTTCATTTGTTTAAAGTTTATTTTTATGTAAGTAACTTAAAAAGGAATTCTCATCATAAAACTTCCTCAAAATTTTTTATACTAATTTATGGCTTTTGCCATGATACCTGGTCCCAAGGGCCAATCAATGAATATTTACTAAATACACAGCAATAAAGTTACTTCATTTGTATTCATTTGTATGTAATATACATGACTAAAGGAAAAATCTTATGTATCTAATTCTCTAAATAAAAAACTTACCAAGACTTGTATTCAAGAAAGATTACAATTTATTTGGTTGGAAAGAGGCTAGTATTGGACAATTCCACATATACTAGACATTAGTTTTGTAAACTTTTCTTTTTTAAAATGTATTAAGTTGTATTATATTTAATATACCTTTTACATTATATGAGATATGCTGTAATTAGTCTTTTTATAGAGTGCTACATTGATCTTCATTAAATAATTAAAACAGAACGCTGAAATTAAAGGTATTATTGTTATACATGACAAAATTCTGTATACAATTATTTTCCTAAAATGTTTCAAAAATGACATTTAAAAACTTCCACCAAAAAGCTGATGTGTAATAAGCCTAATAGAAAAAAAGCAAACCTCAGGAAGTTTTAATGGGTTAAATTACATTTAAATTATAGTGCAAAAAATTCTGAAATTAAAATATAATGTAACTTCTAATACTGGAAACCCAGTATTAGAAACTTTCTCCGTTTTAGATATGATAAAGCAAAAATGCTTCGAGATTTCTCTCAGTTGGCTCACTTCACGGTGATGTTAAGTTTTTCAAATAGCCTTAGCTTTGCCTTTGTTCAGGATCAAGGAGATATAATGCATGCATGATTCTTAGCTCAAGAAACACTTTCCACAAGAAACCCTCATAGTCTTGCTGGGTTACTATCTTTTTGGGGTAAAACTACTCAATGTGAAGTTAGGATAGGTTGGCTATAGCTTTCTAAAGCTGAAATTTTGCCATGTTGATAATAGAAAACATGATGCTTAACTTGAACACATCTTGAAGTCAGTCACTTGTTTTCAGTAAACACAGTATTAATTACTGGGCACACAAATTCTATAAAGGGCTGTTTGGTATATTCCCGGCTTGCCATAAATCTAGTTTACGTTCTAGGAAAACTTCCACTGCTGCATAAAGTGGTCTTGTCTGCCCCTACACTCTGTACACTTCACTCCCTATAATGAAGTCATAATCCATGTAATCTACTATTTAAATCTACTCTTTAAAAAAGTTTGAGTAGATCAAAGAGAATTTTTTTAAATGACTGTAGCACCCGCCAGCATCACTGTTTTTATTGAGTACCTTTATCTTATACAAATAATATCATCCTTTCACAGAGTCAGAGGCCAAGAAACTAACTCAGTGGCACAAAGTCAACAAGTGATGGTCCTGGGATACAAACCTGAATCTGTCTGACTCACCACATAAGGTATTTAAGCAATCTGCCTTTAAGTTCCCTACTTCACCATTTTCCCTACAAATAACTGATGTGTTGATTTTTTAGTTTTTAGCTTTCTAAGATAACTAGAGAACTACCATAGATTCCATCCCCTAATGCTATTTTAAATCAGAATTAAATTAGCCCGTGTCTTCCAGAAGACCTAGTCTGTCAACATAACATAGTGGTTTGAGACTCACTATTTTAGAATTTGAATATAAATAAGACAAGCTACCTTGAACAGTGACAAAAATATGAATGATACCTACATCAACAATTAAGAAGTCCAGCCAACACCAGGCATTGGTGAAATATGTTTGATAGCCGTATGCCACCCATTTTAGAAGCATTTCCAGAATGAAAATGTAAGTGAAAACCTTGTCAGCATACTCCAACATTGTCTTAATTGTTTTTCGTTGATCAATATATATATCTTCAAATGCCTATAAAGAAAAGCTACATATTATTAGCTTTCAAAAATGATTATACTGTATAAGCTATTTTAAAAATCTAATCATATATGCATATGACATTTCATTGAAATAGGAGGGCAGAGAAAGAGTAGTTACTGCTACTTTTTTTTTCCTCTCAAAGGTCTTTTATTTATTTAATCAGAGGAAAGACTATTGGTAGAAGAAAAAGAAAAGTATGATTCCAGTGAATTAATCTGACTTAGGAAATAGTTCTTGGTGTCATATCCTGATGTGACCATCCCAACTTGAAGTTATATATTCCTTTTATTTTATTTAGTTTGCTTCTATTGGCTTTTTCTTCCACTAGAAAGAAAAGGAGGTTGAAGAAACAATGAAGGCTTACATTTTCATAAAGCAGAAATTATGATTGATTTTCACAGTCTCCAATTTTACCAAATAGTTGGGTTCACCTGCTTCTTTTTGTTTTTCTTTTAATTTTTTTAATAGTTCATGTTTCTCAACAGAATACAGTGTGACAATGATGAAATGAAATTACTTTTCCTCTAGATTCTAATACATATTCTTCTCTTAGGAACCTCTTGATGTTTCACTTCTAAGTATGCATTCCTTTCAATGATGAAAAACTTTCTTATCTAAAGTAGCATGTTAAAAATATTTACTTCTTCAGAAAAATTACAGGTAAATGTATGTCTCTGTTAGAATTATAAACTGAAGTTAAACAAACTTGTAAGTAACACAGTTTCATTTCAATCAGGCAAACTCTGTTTCTCTCTCTCTCTCTTTCTCTTTATCTTACAGCTTAAGTATTTCCTTTGTGTTAGGGTTTCCCTAAAATGCTCTGAGTATATTTATAATTTTATAAATAATTTTCATATAAAAATAAATTGATTGTGATGAGGTGAACACCTTCTTATAAAGATAAACCCATTCTTAAATGAATCGCTTAGGCATGCTGCCCAATATTTATTTTTACCAACTTTCATTGTTTCCTGAGTAGCACAAAAATAGTGAGCCCACAATTGGAAAAAGCAGAGTAGCGGTCCCTGAGGACTTGTTACTGTCTATCAAGAGACAATAATAATAAATACCATTTAGAAACAAAATTCATCAGAACTCAGAGAATATATATATTCCCATCCCAGGGCATCCATTAACTATTTGCTTATTAAACAATGAGTAATTGAATATTCACATCCTTTGGTGTTAATGAATAAGCTGAAGGGCTACACTTTCTGGGCTATTTAATAATAAGCAAAAATTAATGATTAGCTTATTTACATACATAATGAAAGTAAATCCAGACATATTAAGTTATAGAATAAGTCTATAGTCTAAAAGTTATAAGGTAACTTTTAGATAATAAAAATGCACTGGATACTAAGACAATGAAACAGGATTAATAAATCAGCAGTATTAGAATGTCTTTTCTTGATATTCACTTACCAGAGCACCACTACTAAGGAGAATCATGAAAACAATGAAGGTCTCAAACCAATTGTGTTCAACTATTCGGAAACACGTCCTTCTCAGATTCCACCATTGTTTTCCTCTCCCTTCTTCTACATTGATTTGACAACACTTGAATCTTTGTACACAGCCTGTAAAAATAGTGTTCAAATAAAAGTAGATAAAATAACCACTGCTTCCATAATATCCTTTAGCAATGTCCTTGGCTGGTCTTTTTATTACTATGGTCACCTCTGTCTTGCTAGGATAGCTCTCTAAGCCTAGAGTAGTAAGAGCACACTCATTAGCTGTGTGAAGTTGTGGAAATCATTCAGCCTCTTTAAATGGTTCCCTAGCTGACAGTATTTGCTTTGTCTGCCTCACAGTGTTATTGTCCAAGAAAAACTTTGTAAATTACAAATAAATGTGAAGTAGCTTTGCCTTGTACCACATCATCCTGTGTACTCTGCTGAAGTCACTCTAGAAAAGAACTTTAAATTGGAAGTTAATAACGATAAGCAGAAAAAATCCCTTTTATAAAGGATGTAGAGTAATAATGTAGATCTCTTCCAACAATACTGCATTTGTTACTGTTTAGGATTTTTTGTGATGTGCCTAGAAGGGCTTACGTAATTTGCAAAATTAATTTAGTCCACTAAAATGTGGTTGTTATTTGTATGGTTTGGCTTTGATTTGTCATTGCCTTCCTCACATATTACTTTCACTTAATCTAACATCAGAATTAAATCAACAGGTACTTCTGAGTACCACTAAAAGCACAAAGGCACTTAGGCACACACACACAAAAAGGTACAGAACATGTACCTTAATCCCAAGAACCTTAACAAAAAATTCTGGTTTCAAAAAAAAAAAAAAAGAAGGAAAGATATATTGAAAGAAAAAGGAGAAAGATAAAGAAAGAGAATGAATGGAGAAAAGGAAGAAGAAAAGAAGGGAAGGAGGAAAGAAAAAACCAAGGAATGAAGGAATGGAGGAAAAGAAGAGAAAGAAGACAGTAAAGCAACATAACAGTTCAAAAAGAGAAAGAGAATAGTTTTCATAGGCTAATACTTAAGTTCTCAGGTAAATTAAATGAATATATTTGTTACAGCTGTTCAGGGGAATGAGCAGCTCTTCCAACATGGTCAGACGAAGGTAGTTTTTAAAAGGACATTGCATGATTTGTATAGGGAATAGAAGAAGACAGAAGAGGTACTAGACCTATGAAAAAATAGCATCAAATATAAAGTATTCATATTTCTAAACCTCAAATTCCCAAGGAAATCAGACCACAGGAAGTATTAGTTACCAAAAAAAATATATATATATCTCTTCTATCTATTGCCCTTATTGTACCAGGCTCAACTAGTGACTATTTGGGTACTGAGCTTCAAGGGCAGTATTTATTCCCCATTTTATCCAACAATCATTGGAAACTGATTTTTCATTAAAAAATACAATTTAGCACTAGCAATCCATTTAGTTTTAACAGAAAGTTTGTGAAATTACCAATTAATTAAACAATATGTTAGAAATTGATGACATTAAAATATTTTTCCTCCATGTTCATAATCTCTTCCACATATTGGGCAGATAAAATGAAATCACATTAGATTTTAAGTTTTTTTGTCTGTCAACATATTAGTAGGTAACTGAAATATATCTATTACAAAGTGCCTCTTTATTATATGTGATTATTTTTGGTGACCAACAGCTAAACAAGCTGCACTCTACAAATGAAAGATTAACATTAGGATTCTTTTCTTTACCTTCAGTGAAACAGGCTTCAGGTTCAAGGGTTTCTTCAGGTTCCACTACAGGCTGTTCTTCTGCAGGTGCGCCGATGTCCACAGTGCTACCTTCTGATGAGCTACTGCTTTCATTCAGTTTCTGTAAGTGAGATAGACATCGAAAGTAAAGTCCTTTAATTTTGGTAATAAGTGGCCTGCCAAGAAAGGATTATTACTATAAATTGATTCTGTATTCTTCTTGAGGTAGAGGTTTTTTTCTTTAGAGAAAAAGAGATTGAATAAGAGGAAGAAATAAGAATATCATTGTCTATGTTAACTCCTTTACCATAATTTACAATGTAAGCATGACATCAGATTTCTAAGTTATGATGTTCCAAAAGGCCATCAGCAACATGTACTGAGCAAAACAATGCCCTGTGAATTAGAGAAGCAGGGGACAGAGGGAAGAGGAGGAGAGGGAGGAGGAGGAAGGGAAAAGGAACAGGAGAGTAAGGGAAAAGGAGCAGGAAAGAAAGAGAAACCTTACCTTAGAAGGAAATAATGTCGTGAGGTTATTCTGCATTTTAATGTTTGACTTTATGTATTTCTTTAACGATGTGTTACCTTTGCGCAAACACTACCTGTTGTTTCATTCATGTTACTACGATTCATGGCTAAGGTGTTTAGAGTTGTTTAGTATAAATGTGCTCATACCCAGGAATAAGTCATTGGTTTCTTCCTCTGACAATCACCTAATGGCAGCCATGATTCACATTCTTAATCAAACTGCTCATATTATCACATGGCCTTCTGAAGAAATCCTTATGTCTTATCCTCAACATTATACAGATTCACCATTTGGTCATAAAGTAATAGGCCTAGGCTGAGATTGTCACTTCAGTAAGTGCCTTCTTATTTTAAAAATGATCTTGATTGGTACTATCAGGGCCATGGTAAAATTCATTACATATTTTATAGAAACCATGTGAACAACATGTCATCACCCATTGTTCTTCACTGTAGAAAAGCAATCTTGTGTAAGACACCCATTCTTCATATAAGAAGTAGAGAATGAGATTTGAGAAGTTTAACAATTTTCACCAAAATTAACAACTGGAAAGCATATTATTTCCTGTGAATAAATTTGTGTGGAGAGGCATTCAGGTACAAAGAATTATAATAGCAAATCTACCTTTCTGAATATACAATTGTTATCCCCACATGGTTTTCTAGTCTGTATCAAGACTCGCAAAATAATAGATTATTAGCATAAAAATTTACTCTTCATTAGTATAGGTTGTCAGTAACAAGCAGAACAAAAAGTTGCTGAGCAATTCATCTTCATGTAAGTGCCACACATAAATGATTGCTTCTTTGCACATAAGTGTTTTATCCAATTGTAAGGAAAATTCGATCCTGGCATGAACATGTACATGCCACCACACCCGGCTAATTTTTGTATTTTTTGTAGAGACTATGTCTGATGCTCAGGCTGGTCTTGAACTCCTGGGTTCAAGCAATTCACCCACCTTGGCCTCCTAAAGTTCTGGGACTACAGGAGTGGGCCACTACAACTGGTCTTTTGCCTATTTTTCTATTGGAGTGTTAGTGTTCTTGCTAGATTGCAATTGCTCTTTATACACAGAAAATCATTTGAGTTTTCTTAAGTATTATTTGCCAAATGTATTAGTTTTCTATGTCTGTGTAACAAATGGCCATGCACCAAGCATCTTAAAACAACTTACATTCACCATCTTACAGTTTCCATAGGTCAGCAGTCTGGCACTGCCTAGTTGGATTCTCTCATTGGGTCTCACAGGGTCTCACTGGGATGATGTCAAGGTGTTGACTGGAAATGCAGTTCTCTTCTAGGTCTCAGGATCTTCTTCCAAGTTTACTGTCGTTGGCGGAGTTCACTTCTCGTGATTAAAAGACTGGGCTTCCTACTTTTTTGCCAGCTTATGGCCAAGGACCACTCTCGGCAACTAGAGGCCACCCATAATCCCTGGCCACATGGCTGCTGTATGCAGTTTACAACATGGGTATTTGCTTTTTTCTAGACCAGCCAGAGAATATCTTTTCAGCTTCCTCTATGTGATAGCAGGAGAAACCACTCTGCTCTTAAGGAGTTCACCTGATTAGGTTAGGCCCACCCAGCATCATTCCCCTTTTGCCATAAATGTAATGTAATCACACAGTGATATTATATCTACAGGTTCCAACCACATTCATGGAGTGGGGATTATACAAAAGCAAGTGTCGTTGAGGTCATCTTAGAATCCTGCCTGATATACCTGAGTTTGTGTGTCTTACTGATTTTTTTCCTAAGAACTACAACCTGTTATACCTATATTGTCTACTACATTGATAATCCACTATTTTTTCTCTTTATGTATATCTTCTTTTTTTGTTGTTGTTCCTTCTAATTTCTCAAAGATATTTGTTATATTCTTTCATCCTTGCTTAATCATATTGGTAATATTAGGACATTCAATGACTACTTAATCTTCTTCCACAAATTTTGAAATAAAATGCTCTTATTCTTGAAACAGTTATTTAGGTATTTTATTATTCTTTTATTCAATATCTGTTTAGGAGAAAATTTAATTTTCAAATTGTTGGAATTCTTTCTATCAATTTATTATTTATTTCAGGCTTAGCTTTGTTGTGACTGGATAACCCTCTCTGTCAGCTATTTTTAATTTATTGAGCTTTACTTTGAGCTCTAGTAGTATATGGTTAATTTATACAAATATCCCATGAGCCATTGAAAATATGAATTTTCTGTAAATGTTTTTTTGAGATAATATAGTCATAATATATTTACTTTTGCTATTAATATTATTGAAATTCTAAATGTTGTCATCTATTAAAAATATTTTATCATAGGCTAAAAACATTATATTAAAGCCTTCATAACCAGTATATTTGTATCAATATATTCTTAAACTTCTAATCGTTGAGATAAAAGATGAAGTGGTCCGATTCTTTATTTGATTAGGATAATAACACCATTATTACTAAATACTCAAAAAGGGAAGGAAAAGCTGTTTAGATGAGTGGGAAGAGTCCACCTTTATGTTAGCACAGTAAATATGACTTCAGATAAAATACTAAAGAAATATGATAACGGCAAAACTAAAATATTCTCAGTTAAGATTTTATTGATTTAAAAATCAATAAGGCCAATTATTTTTTCCTTTTTTGTTCTTATATTGAAATTTAATTTCATCATGAAATTCACTATTCACTAATAAAGCAATTGGTTATCACTGCTTTTGAGATTAATAGAATATTTCTTAAAATCCATTTTAATATTTATTGAACCATGAATCAACCTTAAATTTACCAATTTTTAAATAGGCTAGTTAATTTGAAAATATACGTAATTTCACACATGTATCTTAATAGCAAAATTATACACTTATATACTGACTCGTATCATCCACATATTTTTAGCAGGCTGACTTAATATGTGAGCTGAGAGAATGCAGAGGCCACATTGTTTCGGAAGCATCCACTTTGCCGTGTACACCAGGGCATTCAATAACCACTTAATAACTACAACACTGATGGTAAGAGCATTTTCCCTCCTCAGTGGATTTGTGCAAATTTCTTGCTCTTTAAAACTGTTCTTTACTACAGCAAATGATTTTGACCTTGAGGGTGAGGCAAAACAAAGCAAGGCAAACAAAGCACTCTACAAATTTTCTGACAGTAAATGATTAAATGCTTTTTTTCTTGTTCTCTGAATTGATGATCCTACAACGTTTATGTTTTTATTTTTAGACTTGATTTGTTATAGGGAGCATATTTATAGAGCTTAGTAGGAGTTCAATTTATAGTAAGTAATATAAATAAATAAATCTGGAATTTAAGGGTCAAAAGCATACTTAATATGTGGTCATGTGATGTATATATATTTGTATATCTATATATGTGTGTATATACACATACACATTTTTTTAAATGTAACCAATGAAAAATATTACCTAAAGTACTTATTTTAAAAGCTGGACTGGTACTGTTTTAATGCTGGGTATTTTACAATTATGACATATATATCTCCTAAGTCATGCTTAAATGAGGTGCTCTATAACCTCAGAAATATTAGTATTAATATTTCATTGTGTACAATGTGCACTAGTAAATATTTCTATTCTACAGTATGCATATTAAAAAGTTAAAATGATCCCTATTAAAGACTGTCAACAAAGGAACAATGTAATATCAATGGAAAAGATACTGTAGTGAAACCCAACATTTCCACAGGGCAGCTAGTAAACTCAAATATTCACTCAATAATTCCCACATTATTCCCAGTTGATTTTTTCATCAAGCTGTATGTTGAAAGGACAATCTTCAGTGCATTATTCATATTTACAAAATTTTAATTGTTTCTATTCATTAGTCAAACACTTGCTCCGTATAAAAGTGAAGGCAGAGGAATATGGCTTTAATATGCTACTCTGAATTTTGGTTTTGATATGTCAAACATAAACTTTTGTATCAATGATTAGATAAAAAGGAGCAAAAGAAATGTATTCCAGTAATATTGAGCCAATAGAAAATCGTGGTAATGGTAAAAAAGTTGGAAAGAAAACAAAAAAAATTCTGAAAAATTACATTTATAATCTCCAAGCTTGAAACCAAAATGCAAATCATGTGAGTAATTTTCAAATACAGCACAGTTTCTATAATGTTATTTTGACATTGATTTTTAACGTTAAATCACAACATAATAAGTGTCTACTTTGCAAATAAACTATATATCTATATAATGAAAAGGTTAAAAGTACTACTGTTCTGAGGATCAGAGAAACTTGAGTTTGAATCACAATCACTGGTTTTATGGACTTTAGCCAATTATCTCAACCTCCTTAGGCTTTAAGTTTCTAATTTGTAAAATGATTCTTACTTGACATCCTTGTTATAAGGACTGAACAAAGTAACACTTGAAAAATGTTTGGCATGTGCTTACTTGATAAATGGTAACAATTTTCATCACAGCATTGTATTGTTTGTAATAGGTGTAATTACTGATATTTGACCTTTTTGACTACCAAAAATGTGCCAGGCATCAAAACTAGGACTTAAAAAATAAAATAGACTCAGTACCTGCCCTCATCTGTTCACAGATGGAAGATACAGAGAGCAACTGCCACACACTATGAAGGAGTAGTTATAGGGTATATTAAGAGCACCACCTAGCTCAGTCTAGGAAGGGCAGGGTATAACAAAGTGACATTTGGGGCACGAAGGATGTGGTAGGTGGAGATGAGTCAGGTGAAACAGGATGGAATAATAGTATTCCTGGGAGAGAGAAGAGGTATAAAGGTGAGAACTGATAAAGCGTAGGGAATTCCATTGAATGAAAGATTAGTATAGCTGGCTGGGGAAGGGTGAGGTATACTATTCCACAAGACTAAAGGGGTCAGTGACGGTAGGTTTTGCAGGTACTTGTAGCCATGTTAAGTAGTATAGACTCCGTACTTTGAGCCACGGGCAACTCCTGGAAGGTTAGAGAGGAGAGAACTTACCGGATTTGCATTTTAGAACGACCATCTATTGCTTTGTCAAGACTACACTGTGAGTGGAGACCCATTTGGAGGCTGCAGCAGTAAAACTGAAAGGTGATAGAGGTCTGATACTGGGTAAAGGTCATGGGAATGCAGAGAGGTGGACAAAGATAGGTAGCCTTGGCAGTCCCTGGTAATCAATTAGAAGTAAGGGAGAAGGTGCTTGGGTTCCATGGATAGTGCTGTTCATGGAGAGTAGCTGCCATCTCTTAGAGACTGTATGCTTAGGTTGGAGATTATCATATGTTCCTTAACCCATATAAGGTAGGGATAAAAGTATTAAGTGGAAAAATATTAGCAAAGCAGCAAGTAAATTTAAAATATATATGTATGTAGGTGATACAATTGAGAGAAAAAATGGAAATCTGGAAGTAACTGCCCATTACCTATTTATTCATTCATTTAATAAATATGTTTTATGTGCTATGGACTTAAGGAAGACAGGGTTAGTGTTTTTCCTGTTCTTAAAGACCTTATAAACTAATGATGCATCATGGAAGTTCTTCCTAATGATGTGAAAGACTCTTCTAGCAGCTTTAAACTCAGACGGGGATGCTCCTTAAGCACAACTACCACACTCTGGGAGACTAAGTGCTCTGTAAGTAGAATTAGACAGCCACAGGTCAGTGTGGGATGCAGAAGATCAGCCTAAAGTACAGGTGAGTACTGGAGGAGCGGGACCTTTCAAGACTAAGCAGGGGGACTCTGAGTCACTCCCGGCTATGCTGTTAACCTGTGCCCAGTGTACAATGATTGGAAGTTAACATCAAATCTATAGTTGACACCTGCACCTAGTTCTTCAACAAATAGTATTAATTATTTTAGAACTATGCAACAGAAAGTACACTTTCAAACACTATTAAGAAGGTTTAGCGTCGTGGTTAACAGCACAACTATGCAGCAGACTGCCTAGATTCTAGTCCAGGACCAACCACTTGCTATTTGTGTAACTTTGGCAAGTTTTGCTTTGTTCAAAATATGTTTATTTTTCTCATCTGAAAGGCTGAAATCACAGTGTGTCTTAGAGCATAAAGACTGAATGAGACAATACATGTCCTGCAATAGTACTTTGTACATGGTGAACGTTTAAACAATAACTGTTATTAACATAACTTGAATTACAAGGACCTGACATTTTTACTCATTATTCTAGAGCTCATTCATCACAAACAAGTGTATTTCTTTTATAATTACTTTAGTAATGTGCCATTTTTACTCCCAAAGGTATAACTTTAATAACTTTAATAACAATGCATTTAAAATTTTTTATTTAAATGGAATTACAGCAGTAATTTTCTTAACATCACCTTACATTTTTGAACACTTTTAACTTCCAGACAGCTTTTACATCTTCCTAACATTTCTATAAGCACCACAGGACAGATACCTCATTTAATAAATCAGGAAACTGGGTAATATAGATTTAGCGATTTGCTCATAGTCGAGTTAAGGCTTATAGGCTCTTAATCTAATCTCCACATAAATCAACCAAAACTCAAAAAATTGTTGGGCAACTGCTATCTACCCAGCATTGTGGTAGGTGTTTCAGAGGATAAAAGTGTTATAAAACTGCTATCCATAACCAAAATAAATTTACTTTCTCTTTGGGGAGATAAGACTTTGTACTGTCTTTTGCATAGTCTTGGCAGTTTTGCCCAGCCCTCAAAGCTCTTCCAGCTCTGTCTAAGTCACCATTTTTATTATTAATGTTCAATAGAAATCCATATTTCTAGCTTATCATTATTCCTACTATTGCATGAGTCAAGAAATTTTCTGAGGTTTTAAAAAACAATTCCTCAAATTACTTGAATATACTTTTGAAGGTTGAAATCTCTTAAGACTTAAAGAGATGATGAAATGTGACTCATGCTATTCCCTTTTTTTTTTCTTTTGGAGACATAGGAGGAAGGTGCAGAAAAAACAGCCTTAATTTTGTTCTGGAATGGAGGACAGTTACATGTGAGTAAAACACAGTTGTCAGAGGCAAAATAAATATGAGCTTCCAGCTCACCACATCTCTTCATGCCAGTCTATTCTTGCTTCCTGGAAACCGAGACTCTTTACCTACACCGCATCCTCAGCTCCTGTGATTGTACACCCCAGGAATTCCAAACTACTAATTGACTCCAAATACACTCTCTGGCTTCTTGTATTTAGGTTTCTGCATGTTTGTATTTCCTGATTGAAATACCCTTTAGAAAAATACTTTTCTTAAATATTTTAAGGAGTTACCGTATCAAGAATGCAATCAAAACAATTTAAAAATAAGCAGAAAATGTAAAATGTATTACCATCCCCAGGTAAACCTATAAAACAATTTATTACAGAGGGAAAAAGGCAAACAAAAAAAAGACAAATAGTGGAAAATGTTACTAGTAGTAATTCTTGTAAGAAAA